GGCGCGGCCGCGCTCCCATCCCCCCACCCACCGCCCGCCCCTCGCCCTGTTCCTTTTGAACAATTCCTGGCTGGTGTGACTGTCACCAGGGGCGATCGCGTCGAGCCCCTGCGGCTCCAGCCCGGTGCTTCTGCTCCCTGGCTGCGCTGCAGTCACTCACCGCTTCAGAGGTGCGGATGCTGGAGATCCCGGGGTAGCGCAGGAGGCACTGCGCACGGTCAGAGGGCTGCTAGCAGGTGTCGCACGCAGCCGTGGCCTGCGGAGTGCGGGGGGAACGGATGCTGGCCTGCACCACGTGGGAGGGAAAATGGGGACCTCGGAAGGCAGGTCTGTGCTAGTCGATCCTGAAGCACCTTCAGTGGTTTTCAGTGCAGGGACACATGGTACGAGGTTACGAATAGGAGTTGAACTAACCCCCTGAAAAACCCAGAAGTTAATTTTTTTAAAAAAAATATTCGTATTTTTTTTCCTTTTGTCATAGCTGCTAGTGGCACGGCATCCTTTGGGTGCTGGTGTTTTGTTTTGTCTTTTGAGACCAGTTCTCATGTTTTGTAGCTGAGGATGATTCTAAACTTCTGGTCCTCCTGCCTCCTCCATCACGAGTGACGTTAGGGTTACCGGTGTGGACCACTGAGCCTGGATTTTATGTGCTGCTAAGTGTGAAATCCAGGGCTTTGCGCACGCTAGGCAGACTACCTATGAGTTGTGTTCCCTAGCCCTGGGGTCTTGAGAAGCTCCTTGACTTAGCACAATTTTAAGTGTAGAGTGTTTTACGTAACATTTATCCTGTGTTTTATCTTGACTGGAGTTCTGCATCTGTGGCCTGGACTGTTTATCACCTAAACAGTTCCTTATACTAAACAAGTAATGGCTGAAGAATGACCCAGAAAATAATCTTGATGAAAGTTTCTGGCGTCTTTGTGCTTTTACTCATGACGGGCAGTTACCTTCTCCAGACAAATAGCTTTGGTGGTTGTGCTCAGGCAGGAGGAGTTTCTTCCTCATTTAATTTCTGTCCTTCATCCGAGTGTTCATCGACACTCCCTTCGAGAAGGCACCCTAGTAGACCACTCCATGAAAATTTGTCAAGCCTGGGAATTTAAAATGCTTTCGGCATCTTTTTAAAGCCAAGAGAATTTTTTAAAAATAAGTTTATAATCAGTGAGGGTTTTTACATGCTCTTTTTCCTGAGGTGGTCTCTTACACTGTATGTGTTCACGCTCTTAACTGGAGGAGTTCCAGAGTGGCCTGTGGTGAGGCCCGCTGTAGTTGATGGCCTTGTCGGGATGCATCTCCCTGTAAACACTTGACAGTGCCCTCTGGCTGCCAGCCTCTTCCGTTCTGACAGAGAGTACTGCAGTGGGCAGTGTGGCTTCCAGGACTCATTAAGGTGCAGGAAGTTTATTAGGGCTGTACCTGAAGCCACAGTGCTTAACGAGCTCCAGTTCCTTCATTAGCAGTCTGCCGTGCTTGCAGAGAAGAAATGAACCGTCAAAAGGATGTTTTCAGAGTACTAATTGGATTTTAGCCTAAAATACTTCTGTCCCTTTTAAGGTAGAGCATGACAGGAGTTGAGTGTGATCAACAGGGCCCAGGCTGTAGTTAAAAGTTGTCAGCCCAGGGGTCCTTGTAAGGTTTTCCTCTGTTGCTCACCTGGCCTCTTTCCAGGGAGCTAAGTTCAGTGCCTTTGAGAAGTCAGAGATCTTGCTTGTAAAAATCAGTTGTGTTCCCCTTGTCTATTGGATAGTCACTGGAGGCTATATTTTCAAACATTTAATGCTATCCCAAATTAATAACAGTACAAACTATTTTTTATCTTTTTTTTTGGGGGGGGGGGGAGACAAGGTCCAGAACTCACAGAGATTTTCTGTCTCTACTTGTGCCTCACGAGCACTGGAATTAAAGATGTGTACCACCAGGTGCTGGTGATATACAAAGATTTTTACTCGTTGTAACAGGTTTATCAATTAATGTAGCCAGTGAACACTGATTTTAGATCCTGGAAAAATAAAGACTGCACCAAAAAAGTTTATAGTCTTTAATTTTTTTTCTTGAAGAGCCAAGTTTCTAGATGATTTCCAAAGGTTATTGCCAAAGGAGAAAGTTCTATATTAACATATAATAGTCAGGTTTTCAGTATAGCTATTGCTCTTTGAGAAGAAAGCAGAAAGAAAGACCACCTCAGACCAACATCTAGAAAATAAGCAGTTTGGAAAAGGTCCCAGTGTATTTCATACTCACTTTATAAATAGGATTGTGTTCTTTATATTTGTTTATTTTGTGTGGGCAGGTTTAGAATTCACTGTATAGTCCAGGCTAGCCTCAAACTCCTGCAATCCTGCCTCAGCCTTCCAAACACTAGGTTTACAAGCATGAGCCATGTTGCCTGTCTAGCTTTGCTTTCTTAATGGTATAGTGAATGATCGTGGTAGTGTATTTTGAATACAGATTATTCTTAGTGAATCTGTTTAATATTCAGTGCCAGACTCTGGAGAGAACAATGAAGGCAAATTCAGTTTCTAAGGCCTATGAGCGCGGATCAGAAGATGTCGGCATAATTTATAGCAAGTTCCACAATACACTGACATCTAATTTTCAGTTTTTGTTCCTTCTCATCCATTATAAATCATATCCTTGCCGGGCGTTGGTGGCGCACGCCTTTAATCTCAGCACTCAAGAGGCGGAGACAGGCGGATCTCTGTGAGTTCGAGGCCAGCCTGGGCTACCAAGTGAGCTCCAGGAAAGGCGCAAAGCTACACAGAGAAACCCTGTCTCCAAAAACCAAAAAAAAAAAAATCATATCCTTACCTGTGGACAAGATCTATTTCCTTTTAATAAATTAGTGGAAATACAGCTGCTGAGTCAAAATATTTTTAGATTTTATTTTATGTGTGTGAGTATTTTTTCTACATGTAGATCTGTGTATCACATGTATGCCCTATGCCAATCAGAGGCTAGAAGAGGGCGGGCATCCTGTCCCCTTGAACTGGGGTTACAGATGGTTGTAAGCCGTCATGTGGGTGCTGGTAATTTAACCTGGGTCCTCTGGAAGAATGATAAGTAGTCTTTACCACAGAGCCATTTCTCCAGCCCCAAACTAAAACATTTTTAAGGCATTTGGTCTCCGCATTTTCAGTTTGCCTCTTAGTGTGTGTTGCTTCTACATGAATAAGCTTCATTCTTGGTGTTAAGAGTGTCTCTTAAGTGTAAACAGAGGCAGAGTTTTTCTATCCCAACTGCCCAGTCCCAAATAAACACATAAAAGCTTATATTAATTACACAATGCTCAGCCAATAGCTCAGGCTTATTATTAACTAGCTCCTACTTTTAAATTAACCCATTTCTATTAATCTATGTATTGCCATGTGGCCTGTGGCTTTACTGGTCCTCTGGCATCTTGCTTCTTGGGCAGCTCGCTCATATCTCTACTGACTCCACCCTTCTTCATCCTAGCCCTCAGTTTGATTGTCCCGCCTAATTTTATCCTGCCTTGCTAAGGCCAAACAGCTTTATTATTAACCAATGAGAGTAATACGTATTCACAGCATACAGAAGGATCGTTACAGCATCTAGGGTCTCTACTTTCCTCCCTCGGTGTTATTAAAGCAAGAGAGTACTCAGACATTACTCAGAACAACCACAGCCTACATTCCTTTCTGTGGCTTAACCCATCCCATCAAGAAAAAGGCCAGAGCGCTCTCAAGTGGCCCTTCCTTGTAAGACCTGATTTTTGCCTTCAAGGACCTCAGGGACCTATGCCTTAGAGTTAATGACATCCTTTGCCTGCCATGCTACTTCTGAGGTGGTGATTAGATCTGCTTGGAACAGCTTGATTAAGCTATGGTAGATTTAGATTGACAATCTGAATTAGATGTTTTCAGTATTTTTTGGTAGAATGTGTGTTTAGTATGACTGTGGCCCCAGGTTCTTGGTTTAATCCCCAGCATGCTCCAAAGAAATATTTTAATGGAATATGGTAGTTTCAGAATTTACTGTCTTCCCACAGATCATTGGCAGTGGCTGACAGGTATGCTCTGGCACTCCGCCAACTTGATTACTTGGAAGCAGTACAGAGATGGCTGTTCCATTACCTAGGGATACAGTGTGGAGACCATTCAGAACTCACCTGGGGTCTGAGGCTCAGTGTGAAGCATTGCTAGCATACAAGTCCTCAGTGGACCCAGGGAACTATAGAAACCAAACAACAGCACATGCTTATAGGAATTCTGATTAAACAAATATAATGAGTAATACTTTTTATCAGACTGCATATACCATTATGAATATAAATTGACTTTAATTTCTGTATTTGTATACATGAAAAGATTTTGAGGTTTTTGTTTACTTGTTTGTTTGTTTTGATGGGGAATGCCCCATAGGATGGAAGTTTCTTGAAGGTAGGTACCATAAGCTTTCTTCACTAGATCATTCCACGTGTGGTGCCAGGCAGGTTACACCTGACAGTCAGTATTAAACAATTGACTAACTTAACTTGGTTGTAGTTTGATGTGGTCTGAATTGTCCTAAATAAAGAGAAACCGCACTTTATTGCTGAGTTACTCATTAATATTTGCTGAAACTATGTTGGTTCAAGGTAATGTTAATTTAGCTTTCTCTTATCTGTGAAAGATATGATTCTTCTTCATTTGGGATGCTTTTTCCCCTCTAAGATTTATTTATTTTTGTCTTGTGTGTATGAGTGTTTTGCTTGCCTGTGTGTATGTGCACCATGTGCATGCCTGGTGCCCACTGAGGCACAAGAGGATATTGTATCCCCTGGAACAGGAGTTAGTTATATAGTTAGGAGCCACCGTGTGGGTGCTGGGGACTGAGCCTGGGTCCTCTGCAAGAACAAGCAAGTACTCTTAACTACTGAGCCATCTCTCCAACCTTAGGGGTGCTATTTAAATTTTCTTTCCTAGTGAAATGGAATAAAGGATGTATCTTCTAAAAGAGAATCAACAACATCCAAAATTGGTTTTGCCCTAATGAAATAATATACAATTTACATAATTGACATCTCATAAGCCTTATGTCAGATATTCAAATAAACTTTCCAGAATATTAAAGTGTATGCCAAAAGCAGCTAATGTATTTCAAATAGTGATTACAGAAGTAACTTTCTTAGTAAAGGAAAATTATTGAATTGCCAAAGATTAGGAGGCTCCTAAGGCTGCAAAGTTCCTGTTGGTATTATTTGTTGGGAGAGCCCATTTTGTACCCATGTATAGTCCATGAGCATGGGAACCAGCTCACCACTAGTTGGTAGTGATTTTGATAATAAGTGGCACATTAGGACCGGAGAGAGGGCTCAGGGGGCAAAACGCTTCCTGCCAAGCCTGGCAGCTTGAGTTCAATCCTGGAGCCCCGCATGGCAGAAGGAGAAAGCTGTGGTTGCCCTCTGACCTCCACACATGCACACCAACACACCCACCCACCCCACATTAAATGAATGAATGTCATAAATGTTTATGGGCCAGTGAAATGGCTGGATGGTAAAGGCACTTGACACCAAACCTGACCAGCTCTGTTCAGTGTCTGGGAGCCATATGATGGAAGGAGAGCTCTAACTGATCACCACATGAGCAGTGTAGTGTGCGCACACACAATAAATAAATGTAATGTTTTAAAAGTAAAAACTTTTTTTTTTTTGTAAAAAACACATTGGCCTAAGGTGAATGAGTATATGCTCAGGAAACAGCATATTTTACTGGAAACATGTTTAATTTTTTTCTGATTATTTGAAATTCTGAGGTGAAAGGTAATTTATGTGCATAATTTAAAACTGTATGTAACTTTGTGATCCCTCAAGAAGAGCGGAAAAATCCAGTGTATATTTTGTAGTAGTAGTTCCATCCGAAACTGGAGGAGAGGTGCCTAGCCCTGGGGAAATGAGGCAAGGGCCATGTGGCTATAAAAAAGTAAAGGTTAAATGTGTCTTTGTGCAGTAAGTGCTACTTCAACTCTGAAAGGGAGAGTGGGAGCAAGCAGAGAGATGCCTGCAAGCATATTTGTATATCAGAGAGAACAGGTAGTGAAAAGGAATCTTAAATCACAGTCGTTCAGTGCGTTGTGTTGCCGCCTTCAGATCCTTCCACGTTTGCTCCCAGTAGAACATTGCTCCCAGAGAACTTTACTGGACTTTGGCATTACTGACCAGTGCAAACTTACCCTGGGAGAGAAATGAAGTTCACGGCCAGGAGGTTTCCATGTAGACTTTGGAAACGTAGTGTCCTCCTCCACAGGAGCGCCTTTGAAGGTTGTCTGCAGTAGTTAACGTCCTCCCTATGGGCTTCCTTGACAGCTGAAGTGTCAACGGAGGAATTGTAGCTGTAAGCAATAGAAAACCACCCTCCACTGGTTAGCTCTTGGCGCATGCGCCTGAATTCTAGAGGGAGGGCAGGCTGAGGAGAGGGCTTTCGGGAACTGCTCCACAGTCACTGTGGAGCCCTGACTGCGCTGCCTCCCAGTGATATGTGCATGGTCCCCTCACCTGCATGCACTTCTCTGTCTCTCCCACTGCTGGGCAGGTCTTGAGTTTCAGCTATGGGACCGGCTTGGAGACACACCCATCTCTAAACCAGTCACTGCTCTAAGGGAATTGATGCTGAGGATCTTGGGCCAAATCACATGCTCTTCTCTGAACAGACTGTGGCAGAGTGGATGGTATCATGTTAATGGGCTTAAATGAGTCAGAGTTAAAACTAGAATGGCCTTGATCCCATTCATACTGTATGGCTTAAGAAGTGGATGGGTTAGGACCGAGGAGGGGAGGCTGCCAGCAATACCACCTTGTTTACCACAACTCCAAGACGGGTTGTGTGTTTTGCTGGTATAGAATGGAGTTCTGCAGCTTTGGCAGTGTGATTAATAGTTCTGTCCTATGCATTTGAGGATGTTTAGCAACATACTGGCCTGTTAATAACAACATCACTTCAGCAACCCAAAATGTCTTCAGACATTGCCAGATGTCACTGGAGTGGAGGCAGAATTGCCTGGGCTAGGAACCAAGGCTACAATAGTGGTCTCAGATTTTGATCACATGGCCTTAAGATTAAAATGTTCTTGCATCTCTCCATATGTAGTGGGTGTGTGTATGTGAGTATGTGTGTCAATTTTTTTTTTTTTTAAGATGGAGTCTGACCTAGCACCTGAAGTGCCTTGACTTGGCTACATTGGCTTCCGGTGAACTCTGTGCATTCACCCATGTCTGCCTCACCAT